TCAAAACCTTGAGACAACCCCCCTCTTGAATTGTGTAAACAATACTCGACCACAATGCCAAGCAGAAGCAGGTGCGCTGCCAGGGTAGCTTCCATGACCGTACGGATCAGAGGTGTGGCGGCTCAAACAGCAGGAGAACAGCGAAGCATCCGAAGCAACTCCACGTGCTGCATACTTCCACATGAAAGCTGATCTGGCTGGTACACCCGGGATACAGGGCATCCCTCCCCCTCACCAACACCAGCACCTTCACCCATCTACCAGACAGTGACACAACCATCTCCAGGCACTTAAACCATCAGCAGGGGCAACATAGAGCTCACATCACTGCCAAATTCGACACTGGCCTTACTTCTGATGACTGTGTTGACAGGTGTGGTGTTTCATGCTTCTCAGATGGTTATCAATAAACATGACTCTAAATGCCCAATGACTCCTTTACACACTTAGTTTGCTGCACTAGACTACAACATCCTCTAAAGTCATATACTCTGAAGTTTGAAAATTTTTTTAAAAAATCAATACAAACCCAATGTTACATGTACATGTACATTGTGTACGTGTAGAATAATATAGCTGTGTATTTCCTGATGTTCAGGGGTCTAAAACAGTTTCAGAATTAAACTTATCCTCCTCAAGAGAGGCAGGGAGACGGTGTTGCAAGCATCCTTGATTGTAGGAATAAAGATTCCATTCATTTATCTCATGGAAAATTTACTTCTGCAGCTTGGATGAAATTCTCCTGGTTCACCAGTCCAAACTGCATTACAAAATATATGGGTTTTTTTGATAACAGTTGAAGGCACAAGCTTGTACACATGGTACAAGGTAATTTTAATTCCAGATTTCAGGAATAAATATCCAATCTGATCTCTTTCTGTCAACACTGTTGCTAATAGCTAGAAAACACTTCCGGGAACCAAGCTAGGTGCTCGTATATACTGTAATTTGCAACCCTATATATACATCACCATTTGGCACCACTTCAATGTATTTCATACCTGCATCGTCCAATAGTCCTAGTGCTTCCATCACTTTTGGAAGACACCCTGACAGTTCCCAAGTAGGGCAGGTGGAGAGCAACAACATTGTTGTGCTTTCAATTGAAAACTGCTTCTTTTTTTCTTTAAACTTTTATCTCTGGGTTTTAGCTGTTGAGCCCGTTTTCATCACCAGGGATCAACACGAAGGCTCAGTTGAAGACAGAACTGCACTGATGTTTGCCATCTCAACAAGTTCACATCATAAATGTACACGACTAGGGGTCAGGATGAAACTTCCAGAGAGTATTCTAAATGCAGCAGGAGCATTGGAAGCACTGTGCTATCACAGTGTAAACAGATCACATTGTCACCCAGTGTCTGCTCCCTGCCCTTCAATCTGCTCCATTTTTCATGAGGAATGACAGAAGTTTATGCAATGCTTTTCCGCTGGATAAAACGGCAAACACATTCCAAGGTTGTCTTTTGTGTGGCTTATTGCAAAACGCTCCATCACACTGCAATTCCGTTCTGGAATGCGGCGCTAGGTGGCAGCAACTTGTAACAGCTCCCTTTGCTTTTGAGTTTTTTTTGGATATATTGTTGTCTTTTTACTGACATTACCTGTCAGATAAGATTTTTCTTGGATGATTTTTTTGTGCTGAGTTGAAATCTCTGCAACTCAGGAGATTTTTCTACATATATTTTGCCTTTTTCACAAGTTGTTATGATGAGTATCCAAGGCAACGGAAAAATTGTCTACAACCGTGATCAATGTTAAAACTCTCCCAAATCAAAATTTTCAGTGAAATAATACATCAAATCCCAGTGGAGTTAAAGAGGAAGAGAAGAGGCTGCAGAGCAGGGGTAAGGCAGAGAGAAAAACGATGGAGATTTAAACCGTTTCTTCCAACTGTTGTGATGGGTAACGTAAGATCGGTAGCTAACAAGATGGACGAGCTTGAAATGCTAACAAGGT